CATTGTTTAATCCTTTAAAGTGAAGAATTTCGCTTCAGTTGCCGTATTGCATTGTAGAAAAATAATTAATTTATGCAAATCCCTTGCAACTATTTTTTACAGTTTCCTTTCATTTCTCTTCAATTTTTCCAAACTTTCAAAACTGAGGCGAAATTAACCAGAGGGAAAAACTATACTACTTCATCACTTGTGATTAATGCTTTTAATTAATATACGCTGAATAATACCATGTAATCTTCCCTTTGGACTCCATATCTATCCGAAAGCTGTTTTGAAATTTGTTGTAAGTTCATATTGTGTAGCTAAATTAGGCATTTTTTTTTCGTGTTAGATGTGTTATACAAATTAATTTGTCATAATATTGAAATAAATTCAATGTTGAGATAGGTTTTGATTAAAATTGAGAATTTAACTTTTCTCTTTCACCTTTTTTTCCTAAAAACTGCAGTAAATATATTTCTGAGGGAAAGAATGATTAAATCGTCTTTCAGGTTTTTTTTCGATATTTTGAAAGTTATTTAGAAAGATGATAGTCTCACACATTTTATATTTGTCTATTTATATATAATGTTGGTCAAAAAAAAAACTGAAATGCATCGGGTTTCTGTAAAATCATTTTGAATTATCTATGGCCTAAAAATAAAGGATTTTTTAAACATGATCAGTGATTTTTGACAGTAATCAATATATTTGATCGATAACACACTAATCAAAAATGGCAAAAAAAATCAGAATGATGCAAGCTCGTTCAACCTACCATTTCAAGAAGTGAGTAAGGAACAAACAAGTATGGCAATGAATCCGAACATATTATGGTACGAGTCGTTTCAAAAGGAAACCTCGGGATTGGAAGAACATACGATTAACACAGCTGAAAAGTCGTTTAAGTGCAAAACATGCGGGAAGGGTTTTGCTCGATCATCAGATATGAATAGACATATGAGGATTCACATAGGTGAAAAATTCAACTGCACTGTATGCTTCAAAACATTCCTGGGGAAACGCTATTTGACATGAAATGTCACATGATGGGCTGATAGACGCATTTCAAACCGAAATACATTTGCATTGCTATTTCTGTTTTTGTTATTTCTATAAGATAAATTTGTTTTTCCTTGTTGTATTGTTATCATTCTATTGCTTTATATCCGTATTAGTATCGTTCCTCTACCATTTTTTTTATTATTTCTCTTATCTTAGCAAATAAAATTCTCCGTTTCATGTCTCTTTGCACCTTACTAAACAATTTTCTCACTTATAATATGTATATGGCAAGCAAGTAACTTGAGTGCCATACATGAAGAACTTGCAATTAAGTGTCGTTATTATTAAATTACTAAAGAAATGAAATTGTCTCGAATGAATCCCTCATTCGATTACTGCACAGGCAGCATGGAAGATTTTTGGAAATGCTCCTAATAATAATTACAGTTTGAAGTCCTGTATCACTTCATGGGAGATCATTCACCTATTTCGTTTGTCAACTCATATGCAGAGTTCCATTGGTGGTATCATGGATTCCAATTATGCTATTTGCAAGTGGCCTTTCACTCGGTCAGAATATTTGATAATCCATTTCAACTATGAACTTCCATCAGTGAGTGCTGAATAGTTGATCGGCGTTCAGTGAAAGTTTCAAATTGGTAAAAGATTTGGAAGACATAGGGAAAAAAAACCCTAACATAGAAAATCAAATGTTTAACTACTTATGATCAAGCAAGGGAAAAAATTCCTAAAATTTCAGAAGTAGGAATGAAATTAATCTACCATAAAAATCTACCATAACTACCTTTCGTAATTCTTATGTTGTTAGTAATTTGTACTACAAGAAAAAAATGTTTACAGTGTTAATTCGATCAAAAATTTCTTGTAAATTATCGCTAATTATGGGGATAGAAATGAACGCGACCAACATTTTGCAGGAGTTTCTCAGGCAAGAAAAAGCAAAAAGTGTCTTCTTCTCGAATTAATGTTCATTTTAACAGGTTATTTAATCAGTGTTTATATTTATTTCGTTATGAAATATATTGCATCACTATTTATAATTGGAATATAATTGGAACATAATAGAATATAATAAGCGGAATTGCGTGACTTATTGATTTAGCGAGTTGCTTGTATTCCGGGCTTTTCCGCATTTTCAGAGAATTTTGAAGAGGGACAAAGTTACTAGAAGCAATTCTTAAATTTGGGATAAAGATTTCAACATTGCCCAATTCGACATATTCCCCGTCCTAACAAAGGACCAATGTTTAACAAAGTACTCTTAGTGACACAATATAGTGGCATTTAACAATTAAGCGATTCATAAGGTTTAACCGAAACACTACATTTTAATCGTTAAAGACTCCGAATAAATTCTTTTAGAAATCCTTTGATAAGCCGACTATTATAGCACCCGTAATAGTAATCGCTATAGCCACGGATAAAATTTTCAAATTTCGAGTACCGCTAATTTCCTTGAAATACATAACACTCCAAAGAGCTCCAATGACACCTGGTACCATACTGTTGATGGGGAATGATATCGACTGAGCAATGTAGTTGTTTGCAATGAACCTGAAATTTGCCAAACATTATTTTATTTACTTGTGACCACAGATCGCTTTGAAGTTACCGCTCCTTAATATAAAATACCTCATCGGAGACGTGAAATATACTCCTATTTTCACTTATTCAAATTATTGAAATTGGTATTAGTATTATTTGTGATAAAAAGCATATCATTACCATGATGTTTGTGCAATAGCCCACATGATACCCGAAGTGAATGCAGGTAAAATAATTTGATTGTTGACCATTGGTTTATTAAGCTTAATAATAGCATATCCTACCAGAATAACTGTACCAGTGACGAAGATCCCAGTGAAATGAGCAAAAACATATGGTAGTGCTTCAGATGGGGCACCCACGAACTACAATAACAAAAAGCATTTGTGTGTGATATTGTCGAATTAAAACTTTAAAGTATCAGTAAATAAGTAAGATATTAAATTTTAATTAGATTTTTATGGTAATCGAAGAAAAAAATGACCTGGTCAGGATGTTCTTGAACATAAATGACAGGAACAAATGTCAACCCGTAGAATAAACCTACCAACAGCGATAATGCGACACCGCTGAAATTATTACATTTGTTTCACTGGTAATTTTATTTTTAAAAATTTTTCATCTGATTAAACAGTTTAAATATCATGGTACAGAGGTTATAAGGTTGAGAAGATGCAATCATATGTCATCAATGAGATGTTCAGGCAAATCAAATGATACATGTCTTATGAAGATGATTCGATAACTAGACTTTTACATGAAGCTCAATTTGCGTAATATTAGCAGAGGTCAGCATAGTATTAACTGAATAACCCCCCGAATAGTCCTGATAAGGTTACAAAAAAATAACTTACAATATTCGCTTTCTTTATTGAATCCCCTTCCTCTTTATCATCACTGTTAAACAATTTCGTTTCTTCATAATCGTTCTTCCGTGATTTCAATGGTAAAGCGGGAGATTCCACATCCATTATCGATTCGTTTTTTCGTTCTCCTCGGATCTTATTAGGGTCATCAGATTTTGTAGTTGGCTTTATCAATGCAAATAACACTCCACTGGAAACGATTAAATTTTCTATCACATTTTTTGATAATTTCAACGAGAAATATGTAGTAATTTTTAAAAAGTTAAAATTTGAACTTTTCAAAAAGTTGCCAAGAATCAATATGTAAAATTCAGAAAATTTAGAAGGAATCATTATGAAAGCTTACCCAAAAAGAATAAGCAATAGGCCTAAATAATTCAGAATGACACTATTTGGGATATTTTCTTTTAGACCAAATAATCCAAAACGACTACTTGCCCAACCTATCAAACAGCTAGCTGTACCCCATATCAATAAAGCCATACCCATACCAATTAATTCAAAAATTGTTATTGCCATTGCGTTACCTGAAGTTAGGTATAAACTTTAAATGAAATGTAATATTTATTCGTGAAAAAAATTTGTAATTAGTATAAAATTTTATAAGCATCATTTCTGAACACCTGAATAAAATATAATGTATCATTGAAGTTCCAAAATTCATGTCTCAAAAGATAACATATTGGAAATGTTTAACATATCACTTGGAAGCATTCGATTTTTATCACATACATAAAGAATGACCTTTGGAATTTTGAACTTCTGAAACTCTTACTCTTTGGAATTTCGAACTTCTGAAACTCTCACTCTTTGGAATTTCAAACTTCTCATTCTTTTAAAATTCTATCAACAATTTTGATATCTAAATACTTGCTAACTTACCAATTGCCCAAAATACACCACCAAGCATTGCAAGTGGATAAAACTGAGTGAAACCTTCATAGGCATTAATTATCACGCCAATAAGAAATATTGCCGCACACATTATCCATTGTGAGAAGAAACCTGAAATCTATTTTCTATCCAAATATATTTATTTATATGTTAGGAATAATTACTAAAATAAGAAATATCACATAAAATAAATGAAAACGAGTGATACAAGGCTTTTAACAAGTATTTAAACATTCACTGATTAAATTTTAAACCAAAGGTTAAAGGTTATAAAAAAAGCAGGAAAAAACAAAACTGACCATCACCGGGATTAAATCGTTTGATGGGTACAAATAAGGATCCAAATAAACATGTCGTAACGCCACAAGCAGCTAATCCTGTGAATGTATTACTTAGCGACATTATAGCATTTATGTATATGTGATCTAGAATTAATGATATAATTTTAAATTTGGATTTGTATTTTATTTTAACAAATTGTTCGTGAAATTCCGTAAAATCCGTAAAATTATCCGTAAAATTGGAAAAAAAATTTTGACGAATAAATACATTAAAAAAAAAAGAAAAATAGTATGTCAAGTGATTAGACTTATCACACCGACAATATTCAAACATTTTTGATAAGAGATATTTTAGAGAATTTATCTTGAAATGAATACAATCATAATGGCCATATACGGTTAATAGAAATTCAAGTCATTGTTATGTATTAGTCAGAGGACAATCTAATCACCAATACATTGAAATGATTACCAAACCACGGATAGGTCATATAATTATTCCGTAATGAAATTCAGGAAATGAAAACTGTACAATTATGTAAATGTGAGGGTAACTGAACATAAAATGAAATCTACGGTGGATTCCCGAAATATTAATCAAAATCTTAATTACAGTATGTAAAATTTAAATTTGGAAGATTACTACATATACAGGAATGTTTAGTTTCAATATAAATTTAAATAAAGAAAGTTTCGATCCAAACATATCTATTCTTCAACGAAACCTTTTATTGATCAATCATCAATTTGGCATAAAATGAAAGTAATAAGTTAATTAAAGGTGCTTTTTCTTTAAAAAAAAAAAAAAGTAAACAAACTCCCAGCAAGAATAGTAAATCTAATTTGAAATGATCTTTCCAATATTATAAATTATTGGATACTGTATCTATAAAAATCTATTACGAAAGATTCAGTGATAATGAAAAAAAATGATTGTACTTGATTAGGACAAAGATTTTAAAGTTTGCTGTTACTATCTTATCGTTATCAATTTTATGAGATAAAAAAAAGTAACGGCCATCCAATTAAGCCTAGTTTATTTAAAGTTCATTTAAAGTTCAACCTAGCTTTATTAACATTTTCCTTCTGCTCATAACGCATATGTAGCATTAATAAAAATGACAAACACAAAGTTTAATATGCAAAAAAAAAAAAGAAAGGAAATTATAAATTTGCAGGAATTACTCAGGTAAAGTGTATTTTGTAACGAGTAAAACAGTATTATCACTGGTATCACATTAATCTTTTTGTTATATTTATGCAAATGATTCATTTCTTGTATGCATACTTTTTTTTTAATTTCTGTATAAGACATTTAGCTATTGCTTACTTTCCTTCGATCATGAAAGATTAATCATGGAAATGTTTCAAGCTTTGAAAACATACATCGTACTTCATCTCGATCCTATCCATATTTGTAGCAATATAAGCCGATATTTTAGGGATGAGATTTGCTGGAAAACTTTGCTAATAATTTTATTTAAAAAAAAAAAATTGTCAAATTAAGATGAATGTGAAAGTGTGATTGTGAATTTTATTAAAATGAGTGAATTAATATGAAATGATTATTGAAAAAGAAAAAAAAATGCAAGACGGCTAGTTAATTCAAGGTAGTAAGGAATGATGGAGACAAATTAAACTTCAAATAAGATAGACGCAACAAATATGCTAACTTATAATTGTCACTAATCGATGCAGAGATAAAGAAAGCACAAAAGAACAACTAAAAAAAAAAGAATTAGCGAAAAGTTAATGCGACAGATGTGAGAGAATAAAACTTATCACCGAAATCTTTGTTCGAATTGAAATTGACATTCGGAAGCTTCAAAATTGCTTGAAGTGGTTGCATAGGGAAGTTAATTTCGTAGCATGAATGCAAGAAATTGATAATCGATAATACGATATCGAAAATGGATAATAAGTAAAGAGGACAATCAATTCTCTCTTATTTTGTCATTCAAAAAGCGAAATTTATGGCGTAATTTGCATCACTCCACCGCACACTAACAATTTATTTTAAACAAATGATGTAAATTTTGAAGAAAAAGAAGAAGATGCTTCACAGTTAGTTTTCTGAACAATATTAATCCACCAGGAAATTTTTGAGGAAAAATTTACAAATAATATTCTTGGAATAAACGAAATTTACAAAAATTAAAGAATTTAAATTAACAAAATTTAAATAAATGCTAATAACTTTTACAATTCCAAAAAGCTTATTGTATCACTTAACAATAAACTATTATGTTTTCAAAAAAAAAAGAAAAAAAAAGAAAATATAACTTTGCGATAATTATCATAGATAATATAATACTATTTTTTTTTTATCAATGTGTAAATATTCGATTTGAGATGATCAATGATTAAACAAATTAAATATTAATAAAATGTGTAAACCAAAAGCTATGATGGCTTATCATAGCTATTTGAAAAATAAAAAAAGTTTGTTTATTGCAAATGAATAGAAAAATGATTTAGAGGATATCAGTGTAAATTCTTTCAATGAATAATGAAAAAAAAAATCTCAGCGACAGTCTCAATCTCGACGACATCCATCCACAAGAAAATGCTAAATTGATAAGTTTGAATAAAACATAAGTAGCAATAACAAACAGCTTTCATCAGAATACCGAAATATACCTTCTGCATATCATTCAAATACTTCATCCTATCCTACCAATCATTATATGGATCATTTTTTTAATTTATTCATTGTTTTTTTTTTTTTTTATCATACACTGCATTACACTGATAATTCGAATTTGTCGCTTGCAATAGCACTGATGTCAAAAATAGCTTAAAGATAATTTGTAACAAATATTAAACTGATAAAATTTAATCCACCTTGATGAAATATTATCAAAAGTACTGGAAATAATGCTAGAAAATGGTAATGTTTGAAATAAAAATACCAACTTGTTTAGTGTGCCAGAGCAATTTATTGGACCAATTTTCATTTAAAAAGTACAGTAGAATAATAAATTGAAGCATAAGAACAAAAGGTATAGGAGTAGCCCGAAATGAAATATTAGAAAAGAATAACAACAAT